AAAAATAAAAAAATAAAAAAAATAAAAAAGGAAAAAAAAATAAAAAACTTTATGTGTTAATCATGACCTAATTATTAGGGATGTCTCCCATCAGACTATGGAGATCACTGGAGTTCTTATTAATCAACAGTGGATGACCACTTCTGAAGAAATGGAGTTCTGTGTAATAATCTCTCACCATTCTAATGGATATTTGCTTAAATATCTCATTTTTGATGACCTATGTGAAAATCCATCTTGATAGCATATTGACCAGCTGGTAAACCTCAATACCAGGTGGAAACTTACTTTAAAGTCTATAACCCAAATTGTATTATAAACACATGATCCAAAAATGCAAAAAAAAAAAAAAGCTGAATTTGCCTAGGACTGGAGCTGTGTGCTCTCCCTGCATCTGGCCTGTACTCCTGCCTCTGGCCACACTACTCTGGACCAGCCTCTGAGCAGCTATGCACATTAAGAAGAGAATTTCTTTTTATATGTGCCATTTTTTTCTTTATTTGATTGAGCAAACATAGAGGGTTTAAGCTCTACTGGTGGCGCTGTTGCTCCAATGTCCTTTTCCTGCTCAATACTTTATCTTAAAACAGTACTCCAAGTCCAAAATTTTGTGGTAGTTTTGAAAAGGAAATACAGGACCAAGAATACAATAAATATTTATATATATGTCTATATACCACCGTGGTTATGGAGACTGTTTATCCCATACCTACACCTGTTCCTTTTGGTTTCTTCTAAGCTCTCTCATACACTAGCAGAGCCTGGGCTTGGGCTGGGTCTGGGGTGTCCAAGGCAAGGTAGAAGTTCTCACTCACTTTCTGGGCTTTGAACATGGGCTCTGCGAGGGTGGAGGTGTCCCAGGGGCATGACCGAGGGTCTCACTCATGCAGCATGCTTGGGTATGGTCCACAGAATTCCCAAGAATGCACGGGAGCCGGAAGCTCTCCCACATTCTCGCTGGGCCTGGGCTTCGGCTGGATCTGGTGGGTCCCGAATGTGCAGCAGAAGTACTTGCTCATCAGCGGGCTTTAGAGGGGCTCCAGAGGGGTCCTGAGGGTACAGCAGAGGGTCACTCACGCGGCATGCTTGGGTTTGGTCCAGGGATTTCCTGTGAGTGCACGGGAGCCCTTATTTATACATTTTTGAAAAGGTATTATCCTAAAACAGAGAGTTGCCTAAAGACTAATGCCTTGAATTATCCCAGGCAATGTGTTCCATAGCTGAAAAGGTTAATTGCTGTAGGCACTTTTCCTTCTGAAGTTGGCCTTGCCTAACCTCATATTTGTGAGCAATTTATAGCCTCAGCCACTCCCTCCAAGTGGATATCCTTGCCTTCTACCTGATTTTAGAGTGCAAGCTTCCAGTTTTTGGCCATTTCCTCTGATGTTGGCTTTGGTTTGTCATATATACATGGCTTTTATTAGATTGAATTGAGGCTATCTATTCTAATTTTCTGTAGTGTATTTATCATGAACAGTTGATGGACCTTGCCAAAAGCTTTTTCTGCGTCTATTAAGTGCATCACATAATATTCATCATTGATTCTACTAGTCAAATATCATATTCATTGATTTGCATGAATTGAACCATCCATGGTATATAATCTTCTTAATGATTTGATGCATTCTGTTTAGTGCTTGGATTTCTAACTTTCTTCCTCAGTTTGTGATATCTGCTGACCCTGATGTGCTTCCATCTGGTGTGTAGGAAGACAGGGAGGCTGTGAAGAGTATCTTCCCTAAGTACATGCAGCACAGTTGGATATGTTCTGCTTAGAGTGCAGAACATATCCAACTGAGGACATGCTGCTGGCCTAGAAGGACAGAGTGGAGACTGAGGAAGGAAGGGGTGCTGTTGCGGCCTCCACTCTGATTAAGGGGTCTCTACTGGTTGGGGCTGAAAACATAGGTGGCTCTGAGTTCATGGAGAGTGAGAATGACTGTCTCTGGGTTAGAATGTCAGAGAGGTTAGAAGTCTACAACGATATGATCTCTGCATGCATTGTGGTGGATGGAGGGGAGTGGAATCAGGAGGGCCCAGGTTAGATCTGAAAGAGGATGGTTCTGAGATCCAGCCTGCACAGGAAGCTTCTTCCGTGGTAAGAGTGGTGGCCTCATGAGCAGCCTGCGCCAAGTCACTGCAAGGAGGAGAGCCCAGGTAGGGCGGTCGGTGGGCTGTGTGAAGGGTCTCTCCTGGAATCAGGAGTACAGAGGGTAAGGCCTTCTGTGGTCACCTTGAAGGGAGAATGCATTAAACTTGGATTAGAACAGAAGGCTAAGGGCCATGGAGGCTAAGGGCCACCTTCCTATGCAAGTGCAAGGACCCAAGTGTATCTGTGTTTCCACTTGCTGTGCAGGCCTGGTCCTGGGTGCACTGAGCCAGCCACCAAAACAAGACATGGTGGAACATGTGTGTAATCCCAGTGCTGGGGAGGTTGAAACAGGAGGATCACTAAGAGTAAAAGCTGCATAGTGAGACTCTGTACAAAATATATAAAATTAAGAATAAGGAGAAAAAGAACAGTAGCCAAAGATGGGACAGAGATGAGATGATGTTCTGGGTTTCTGCCTTCATGAACAGTAAGGAATATTTAATTAATGACTACCTTACAGCAATAAGAATGATATAAATGTGACTCATTTTTGAATCTTCCCTTTAATTTCACAAGAAGTTACAGTGGAAAATTTTCCTGGTCCCCTGCACCAATTGGTGTTGTCTAGGGCTCAAACATCTGTCACTCATCCAAGGCCATGGAAAAGCAACATGTCAGCTTCTTTTCCCAGCTCCTTCACCCCTTGAGAGAGGTGAACTTCCGGACCCCTGATGGGACTCACCTCATGTTTGATGTCAATGGAGATTTGGTGGCAGCATTTGACATCCTCCAAGCACAACAGATCCGTGAGGGCCAGTTCCACTTTGTCCACATTGGCACAATGGACCCAGATCCCACTTCAGGAGACACAGTGATGATCCAGTTGAAGGATGACGTCCAGGTAGGTATTCTGGGTGCACAGATTGATTCAGGCCTCAGCCTTGGTTGTGGGGAAACTCAGGTTCAAGGACCTTGTCTCTGTGGAGCCTTGAAGTGGAAATGGCTATAAATCAGGGCAGCATTAGCTCAATTATGCTGTCTGAGTGTAGTGTACTATCATGGGTCTGGGCACAATGTTGCATACCTTTATTCCACTTTCTCAGGGAGCTGTGACAGGAAACTTACAAGTTGAAGGGCATCGTGGGAACAATATGTATACCTTTCCCAAAATGGAAAAAACAACAAAACATGGCAGAGAATGTCACCAGGGGTGAAAATTTTAGGTTCACACTGTATACAGGATGAAAATGTGAGCAAGCAAGCCAGAGTATTAGAGCTACACTAGTTAAGTGAATTGGGCCAGCAGCAATCTTTCATGGTCTTCTCTACCTCTGTCTCAGGGTCAGGATCACAAGGACATGCTAGGCCACAGCTTTTCCTCCACAGCTGTCCTCCACTGACAGGCACAGCAGGCCTCTCCCATGAGTCAGGGTCACATGTCAACTCTGTTGGTATTGGCGTCCAGGATATTCTACCTGAGGACCCACTCCAGTTGCCTGCCAGTCAAGCTGGGCTAGCTCTTTCTCTGAGGCATCTATATCAAGGTGCCCTAACTTTTCTTAGGAGATAAGGATTCCATCTTTGACTGCTTCCTACAGGGTTAGTTGCATATTCAGTGGACTTGTGGGCTTTTTACTTGGTATATGTTGGGGTTCCGATTTCATGGTTTTTTTTATATCAATGGTTGGTGTTGAGACAGGGTCTTGATCTGTAGTTCAGGCTGACCTTGAACTCACTATATTGTCTACACTCGACTTGAACTCAGGGTGATCCTCTTGCCTCAGCCTTGGGAGTGCTGAGATTACAGGCATGCACCTCTATGCTCCGCTTCCCTTTTTTTTTCCTTCGAGGAAAACAATACCCACTCCTCTTCCATGTGTCTGCACCCAGACCTTCCACTATGTTACTCCTTGGAGGTGGGGTCTGGAAATAGTATGAAGAACCAGGCTGTGGGAGACTTTGCATATGTGCATATAAGGTGGTGTGGACTCAGCATTTGAGGTTTCAGATAAGTGAATTAAGAGCAAAGGTAAGGGCCACGAGTAAAGGCCTTGCTGAGTGTCATGATCCCAAGGAACCCAATGATCCTCCAGTCTGGATGTTCAGTCCCTTGATGTGTCCACCTTCGGTGTGTGGAGCCTGAGAGCAGGGAGGACATTTTCTGCACACAATGACTAGTGCAGGAAGAAGGACGCTACCCTGATTTCTGCTGGGTCAGGATTTTTCTGGGTCCTGAGGAAGGAGGGCCTTTACTGATCTCTGCACCTCGTCTCCAGGTGCCGAGCTCTGTGTGCAGCACCAGCTGTGAACCAGGATCCAGCCAGATCCCCCAGCTGGGAGCCCCTCACTGTTGCTTTGAGTGCCGGCCCTGCCCTGAGGGACAGTTTGCAGACCAGAGAGGTGAGAGGTCAGCTGCATTCTCGGCAGCAAGGGTAACTTGGCCTGAGGTCCCCACCTGCAGTGTGCTCCAGGGCCTCCACCCTCTGGGAACTTTCAGTGGATCCTGGCTACATTCCCCTCTCACAGTTGTACTTAGGAAAATGGGTCCTGACCTGCAGCCCATGTGCAGCTATGGTGGAAATGGTACCCGAGGCATCTTCCCCTCATATGCACTCTCATCTCTGCCAGGCCTAGTGTAGGGTGGCCTGCCCAGGTCACCATGCTCTGACCCTCAGGCTTAACCTTTGTCCTTGGAGGGCCCGGAGATCTTTGTGCACCTCATGATCTCTTTTGCTTTAGATTTGTATGACACCCACTCACACGGGTTTTTGGTGATAAATCCTACAATCTTTGGACTCTTATGGCACAGAAATGCATCTTGTCTAAGCTCTGGAGTTACAAGTCTGAGATCTTTGTGTCAGGATGGGATTATTTTGGGTCCTCTCTCCTGGATTCATGAATGGTCACCTTCTTGGTCACCAGTTTTTCATTTTTGCGGTTGTTATGCCCTGTTCTTCTGTGGATTCCAGGTATATTGGAAAGGACTAAGCCAATGACCGTACTGAACCTTAATGTGCTCATGTTAAATTTTCCTTTCTGTAATTACAAACATCTTTTAAAGTTCCAAATATCATGATTTAAACAAATGCGTTTTTAAAGACAAGATGGGGACCAAAATACTTGCAATCGAACAAGGACTACTTCTAGCCCAGTGTAGCCAACATAGTGACGCAGGAGACCCTGGGTCAAAGAAAGTCTAAGAAAGGAGCTGAGGAAGTAGCTCATCAAAAAGGCGTTGGATTCAATTTCTTGCATAAAAACAGAGCATTATTTTCTTCTATTTATTGATCGTTTTTCATTTTTATATTTAGTACAGGGCCTATGGAGCCTCACTACACAGATTTGACTTGCAGTGATCCTCCTGTTTTCAGCTTCTCAAGCACTGGGATTATAGGTGCAAGCCACCGTGCCCAGTCTCAATGGCCATCTAGCATGCCCTGGAGGCAGGGCCATATGGCATATGGGGATTGAATCCCAGTCCCTACATCCACCTAAGCAGGTGCTGTAATCTGCTGATCTATCTGGCCACCCCTGAGCATTATTTTAAAGTCACACAAATAAACATGGCTTGCAGTTTTCCTACTACTTTTGGCCTTAATGTCACCCTAACTTTAAGGATAACTAAGAGTAATCCATAGGTATGGACCAATGAGAGCTGCTCCCGGAGGGCCTGGTGCAGAAGGAGCCCCTGCAAAGCTGCTGTTGTGTAAGGGGACCTCCAACACGGGTTCTGTGTCTCCACAGACATGAAGAGCTGCCTGCGGTGCCCTGAGGAGCAGTACTCCAGCCAGGCCAGAGACCGCTGCCTGCCCAGGACAGAGACCTTCCTAGCCTTTGAGGAGCCCCTGGGCCTTGCGCTGACCTTGGTGGCACTGGCACTGGCTGGCCTGGCGTGCCTGGTGCTCGGGGTGTTCCTGAGGTTCCGGCACACACCTGTGGTCAGGGCCAACAACAGGGCCCTCAGCTATGTGCTCCTGGTTTCCCTGACCCTCTGCGCCCTGAGTCCCTTACTGTTCCTTGGCCGCCCCTCACACGTCTCCTGCCTTCTACGCCAGACCACATTTGCCGTGGTGTTCACTGTGGCCGTGTCCTGTGTCCTTGCCAAGACCCTCACTGTGGTAATGGCCTTCAGGGTCACCAGGCCGGGACACAGGGTCTGCCTGTGCCTAGCTCCCAGTGCCTCCTCCTCCGTGGTCCTGGTCTCCTCCTTGGTGCAGGTCATTTTGTGTGGGGTCTGGCTGGCAACCTCCCCACCATTCCCACAGAAGGATGCAGCATCAGAGCCTGGCCGCCTCGTGCTGCAGTGTCAGGAGGGCTCTGGTGTGGCCTTCTCCTGCGTGCTGGGCTACCTGGGCCTCCTGGCCATAGGCACTTTCTGTGTGGCCTTCCTGGCACGGGGCCTGCCAGATGCCTTCAATGAGACCAAGTTCCTGACCTTCAGCATGCTGCTGTTCTGCAGCGTGTGGACAGCCTTCCTGCCCCTGTACCACAGTGCACGGGGCAAGGCCATGGTAACTGTGGAGGTCTTCTCCATCCTGGCCTCTACAACAGGGCTGCTGGGGGGCATCTTCCTCCCCAAGTGCTACCTCATCCTGCTGAAGCCTGAAAGGAATACCGCACGCAGTTTGAGGTCGGGACCCTGGGCTTAGAGCAGCTGTGGGATTCTCCTGGGAACAGCCTTCTCTCCAGGACACGAGAATAGCCCACGTGAGCCAGGTCTCCAGAGCACAGCAGGATCCTTGCACTGAACTGCTGGTGTCTGTGTGCACCTGGAGGGTTCAGTATCCATCCGTGTGAGACACTGGCACACAAATATGAACTGCCCATGAATTAGATAGTACTTCATACGAAAAGGGCCTGCTGGTAGTACAGCATAGGTGAACCTCTAAAATGTTTTGACAATAAAGAAAGCCAGTACCTCATAATGTAAGATTTTAGTGTTCTGAAATATCCTCAGGGATGGCCATGGACATAATGCTATGACTTCGTGGTGTTTATTTGGTGACTGATGGTTCCGGTGATGAGGTATGAATGGGTGCAGGCTTTCTTTTCAAAGGATGAGGGTCTCACACTGATGTTGGTCATGGCTGTCTAATGTGTAATGGTATAAAATTATTACTCTTCATTACACCAGAGTATTGTGTTATGAAATTTATACCTCAATCAAGTTAGTGTTTCATAAAAGGAAAGGAACTGCTGATTACAAGTGGTGCATTTTTATTATCTGTTTTTGGTAATATTTGATAATCGGAAATATGTAGGAAACACTGATATACTGCAAATATTTCTTAAATGCCATTCCTAATAACCATGAACAATGGAATATAGATCAGTAATAATAGCATATGGGTCACTGAATATCTAAAATTCAGAATAGCTTATAATGATACTAGTAAAGATGATGAGGCAGGGAATAGGAGAATATAGAAAAACTGAAATATAGAGAAAAATAAGATGAGAAGGTAGAGAAGCATGTGAAATAAAGGATCCTATTAAGGTGTAAAACAAACAAGAGAATTATACAAAAGTCACAAAAATTAGAAAAGGGAAATCCTACATTCCTAAAAACAATAAAAACAAAATGAATAGAAAAACTTTTCTTGAGGGCCGGCCAAATAGCTCAGTGGATTAAAGTACCTGCAAGCAGGGGCAGGGGCCCTGGGTTTGATCATGGGCCTGCCTTGGCAGCCCCGCCTCCAGGGCCTGCTGTGACAGCAACTGAGACAGGGCGTGTTGATGTGCGCTGTAATTCCGGCACTTGTACGGCTGTATACAGGAGAATCACTACCAGTCTGATCTAGTAGTGAGACCCTGAACACTCTCTAGACCCTTCCCTAAAATAAAAAAGACCCACAAAACAACCAACCAACCAACCAACCAACCAA